CCCGCGCTCTCTAGCAGCCTGGAGAGCCTTAGGTTCCCGCCATCTGTGCCGGCCACGTCCCTCCCACGGGGCAACGCAGCATCCATCTTAATTAATTGGGCTGCCATGCTGGCAAGACAAGCCAGGAGCCCTGCAGCCCCCGTTCTGGAGCAGAGATTCTGGGGGGCAGTGTCTGGCCTGCGACCTCCAGGCTGTGTCTGGGGAGAACCATGCCTGGCATCTCTTCCGGTTCTGGGGTCTCCACCCCGGGGTGTTCCGGCTTCTGGAGTGTGTGTCTTGGGGGGGGGAGGGTCATGACCTTGACCGGGTCGTCTCCATGCCCTTGAGGTTCCCAGCATTCCCCTAGCTCTCGACAGACAGCGAGGAAGTGTCCCAGCACAAAGAAAGACCCCATTCGTGGCCAGCCGGGCAGGCTCCTGGCCCCGGCCTCAGGCATAACAGGACAGAGCAGGGATGAAGGCGGTGCTTTGTGCAAAGACAGAAAGAACCTTTCACTTCGAAGGTGTCCCCGGCCAGTGAGTCGGGGCCACGGCACAGAGGCCAGGAGGGGGGGGGGTCCGAATCTCAGCGTTCCTGCTGGCGGCGACGCCTGCGGCCAGGCCCGTCCATCGGAGCCTCTGTTTCCTCATCTGAAAAATGGGTCATCATTGGCTTCATGCCTGGTGGCGTGAGGATGATATGAGCCCAGACTGGTCCAGGGCTGCGCCCCACGCCTGGCACATGGGGAGCCCTCAGGACATTATTGAGGGGAAGTCAAGAGCCAGAGCTGCTAAGTAGGATATAATGTGACAAAGCGCTGGAAACAAGGGCTACACAGAGCGTCCCCACGCGCAGGGACCCATTAATTCTGCCGGGAGGTGGCAGGAGGGGAGGCGGGTCAGGGAGGCCTTGGAGGGGCCGGGCCTGGGCCGGCGTGCAGGCCGGGGCAGCCATGCTTCACAGCGACACGCTGGCCTCCCTGGGAGTTGTAAGCCGCTTATTTACTTAACGTAAGGCGTGAAGTGGCGCTCTGTTGCCTGAAGTCCTGGGGCTTTGATTTGTGGTCTGCCCGCGCCTCTCGCCTCTCGTGCCCTCCTGCAGCCCAAGTCTGCCAAACTCCCGGCAGGCCCCCAGGGAGCCCGGCCCCCCGCGCTGTCCCCCCCACGCTGTCCCCCCCACGCTGTCCCCCCGCGCTGTCCCTGGGCCACTGCTCGGAGTCAGTGATTTAGAGACGCCTTGATGGACTAGCAAGCAGGGCCCGGGGACGCCGACTGCCTTGTGGGAAGCGATCTGACGCTAAACTGTCGCGTAAATCGCTTTATCTGTCACTTCCGATTTAAATGTGTTTGCTGAGGCTCGCCTCCACCGCCAGCGGCAGCAACCTCTCCGCAGCGGGCAGGGAGCGCGGGGGCGGGTGGGAACCTGTGGGCAGCGGCGGATCTTGCTGGGCCCTGTCCCCTGGGGAGCACAGGGTGAGGGCTGGCCCTTCCTTGGCGCTGACCCCTCAGTGCCCAGCCGAGGCATCTGTAAGGCAGGCGGGACTGTGAGCCCCATTTTTAGTGATCAGACCAAGGCTCAGAAAAAGAGATAACG